AAGTTCCTAGCACAATACTAATTTAGAATCACCCAAAATAAATCCTAGCATGATTCTACACACTTAAATAATATCGATTACGTGTACGTACATCGAATATGATCTCAAAATTGCCACGACTACATGAAATCACTCACTTGGAAGTCTCCTACAACCCACAAATACAAAGAGACATTAGTACCTATTCATATAAAATTTTCAGCAATATATACACTCTTTAAAACACTTTTAAACTTTCTAAAACATGCCGAAAATTAATTAAATTCTCCTACTTTTATTCCCAATTAATGGGTAATTAAAATCCTTTCAAGAAAACTTTATTCTAGCCTTTACATAAAATTTCTAGCATTAGAAAAACTCTTAAGCTTACTATAATTTAGTTTAAAAACACTAATTTCAATAGTTTTAATCAACCACCATTAAATTCCTTCAATAAACATCAATTTAGAAACCTGGGGTTTAATAAATTTGGGGCTTTTTCATTCAAAACCATATCTGAAAATTATATGTATATTAATCATCATTGAAACATCATAAAATCATTACACACACCCAAATTCAATAATTAATCAAAGCTAGATTAATTTAAAACAAAATAGAAGAGTGTTTTTTTTTTAAATTACACAACCGCACGCACACACACCGGGGAGGGGCTGCTGCCACCTTCCACACCGGCAGCTGCTGGTGGCGGTGGCCAGCCGGTGGGAAGTGGTGGTGGTGGCGGTGGCCGGCCACCCTAGTGGTGCGTGTGTGTATGAGTGTTTGTGAGGGAGAGTGGAAAAATTAAGGGAGAGAGAAAAATAAGAGAGAGAAAGAGAGTTTACCTTTGGGTATTCTCCACCTTGGGCAAAGTCTAAATTGCTCATAAGATGGGTATTTATACCCCCTCCCAAAACCAACCTAACTTAATTTCCTTTTTTCACCCTTAATGATTTTCATTCCCATTCAAATTGGTATTTTGACTACAATAAAACTCTTTTTGACTTTATTTAAAATTCCATTGACTTTAAAATATCTTTCTATGAATTAAGTATGCCCCAGAGTTTCTAAATAATAAAATAAAATATTTTCAAAATGAAATAAATAAATGGAAATGGGTTTTTAACTAAAATAAATCTTTTAAATTATTAAAATACCATAAATAATTCATTTCAAATTATTTAAATACGTTATAAAATAATACTTTAAATTAATATACATATAGAAATACGAGGTATTACATTTATGGTAATGTGATATTATTTAGAATAATAATATATTTTAGTGATATTCTATGGTAGATTTATGGTAATTTTATATTGTCTAGAGTTACCTTTTGTAGGTTATAAGTATTGGCCATGAATTATTTTTAAAAAAAAAAGTATTGACCAAGAATATCAATACAACTTAAGCATTGATCTCATATATATCTTATAATTTTGGAGGATTATGTGGAGAAGTGTTCTCAAAATGACTCTACAACTATAATGTAGATGTGTCAAGCTTAATATTATTACGATTAACTCGAAAGAGAAGGAATATAAACTAAGATTCATGTGGATGTGCTTAGTCATCTCAAATGCTCAACTCCCAATCTATTGATTTGGAGAAAAGAGTGTAGACTTTATAGCAGTCATGCTCACTGCCAAGCAGGATCTAATGGTCCCTGTTTTATTCTACGCTACTACCACTAAATATGATGGGTTGAGAAATTTGATTACTTTCTTTAACTTCTGTCGGACTACGCATAAATTTATCATGCCAATAGTATTTTTTTTTTTTTAATTGTATTTGGTGTTTCCTTTCTTAATGTCCTTTAGAGGATATACAAGTAAATCAACTTATCAAAGAGTTATATTCGTCTTTTCATGCTATAAGCTGGGGCTTGGGGGGTAAAAGTGTAATTTGTAGGTTATCTTTTTAAAATTTTCGTCATTGTTCGATGCCGTCGTTGAAGTCTTCCATTCTCTCTTCTCCGGCACTGTAATTTGAAGAGATTCAATGAAAGAATCAAAGCTCACAAGCACCTTCAATAAAGGAGGATGTCATGTCATTCCCCAGAGGTTAATCATGGCATTTATTTCTCCATTCTGTATAGGGCTTTCTTTAAATTTGGCAGCTTCGTCGCCAAAAAATGGTGGTGGAAATGGTCGCTTTCATTGGAGGAGTTTCGATGGAGGTGCTTTAATGGAGGAGGAATGTGACACGCTTGAATATTAAAACAATAAATCACAAATTAATACTTAGGCAAATATTTACAAAACTGTCATTTGATAAACAACTCTTGTTTATCATAATGATTAACTTTATTATTTAAGTAAAGTAGTTCATCTATATTATATACTTTATAGTCTAATTATTTCAATATACAATTTTATATAGTGTCAACATGTTTTATCTATCAGTGCATTTTTTGTGTGGCTAGTCACACCGTATGGCCGACTAATACACACCAAAACACTGACTGGGTAACCATTGACCGAGTATCCCTAACTGAGTAAACCCTGACCGACCGAGTAACCATAACCAATTAACCCCGGCCACATGGTGTTGCCAGTCACATGAAACTTTGTGTTTATTTATTGACGTATATGCATATAAAGTAATTATAATTTTGTAATAATTGATTTATTGCATATTACGGAGTAAAATTTAAAATCATATTTAGGACAAAATTAAGTTTTGGTGATATTTATTATTTTTATGGTTGTTAGCATGTTACTCCCAGTTGTAAGAGTCATTTCAAAAGCTTTGGGAATTAAAGGCGTTAGTGAAATAGACCCATCAATAGGACGTAGCTAAAGCTCAAGTAATAATCTAAGCGGTTACAAATAAGTACATCAAAATCAAAGTAGTTTAACTTACAAATGGAAGTAATACCGTTTTCCCGATTAAGAATACTCCTCGAACGTTTGTGGCTTCTCCCCAATTTATGTCATCTATGATGATATTAGAGTTGATAGAAAATGGTTTGATGTTTGCTTATTTTCTCATGTTAAAAGAGCATCTAATATTATTGTCCATCTTGTGGCAAGGTGGGATACGAGTGTGAACTCGAAATATGTACGTTTGAACTCCTTTCCCCAAAGTATCGGGATTGGATAATTATTAATTATATATGCTATACTTTCCTTCAAAAAAAAAAAAAAAAAAAAAAAAAAAAAAAAAAGTAAAAACCCCAAATATCACCCGAGTTACACTCTACTGTGAACAGATAGTACCAAATACTTGAAAAATTCATTTATATTTGGGAGTGTTTTTAACCCTCCAAAATTTTCTAATTTCAATTTATAACCTTAATGAGACCTAATTGGGTTAATTTTTATTAAAATGCTAACCATAGACTTAATAGGTAAATCACTCAATGTCCCTCCCAGCCTCCCCACCTCTTCAAATAGGTAAATTCTCTATATACCCTTAATGAATAACCAACGTTAAATCCAGTATTTTTAACCCTTAACTGACCAATTAATCTTACTTTCCGGTAGTATTAGTATCTCACTTTGCATGCCCGATTTCTTAACGAGAAATCCTCCTAGTTAAGATTTTGAGTCATTTTAGTCTACAAGGGACAAATTTGATGTCAAAATTGACAAAAAATGACAAATATACTTCAATTTGCGTGCTATGAAAATTTGTGACTGCAAATAGAATATGTATCCGTACAATAATCACAACTTGCCTATTTCCTAAATTTCTAAATACTAGGCTTTACAACTTAATTAATCACATGACTTACAACAAAGCATTAATTTGTTGTTTCTAACTCCCACTAACTACCCTTGCAATTTTTAAATTTTCTTTTTCATAAACAATTTCCAATAACGTAGTTGCACGTTTGTTTATTCGTTTCCTTGTACACCCTGCTACTCACTAAATTCAACTATTGCAAGTATTTAGGGACAAAAGGAGTGTCATTGCTTATCTCTTAAGCCAAAACGACTTATCAGATATTCAAAATTTCAGGGGTGATTACATAAATGGACCACAATAGCCATTCAAATGCTACCTAGTCTGGAAGTGAAGCAACTGAGCAAGTGCTTGTCCATGATAATTGTACTGCACGGCCAAATCGCGTGCCAGCATTTTACAATAACATTCTTGATGTGTTTTGGGATAAGGAGAGATAAGGAAGGAGCATGTAAATGGATGTCAAATGAACTGACAGATGATGTAACCCCATGAAGAATATGCTTTACATACAATAACAGGATGACCATATGATTCACATTGGCTGCATAGATTATCATGAATGGAAACCAAAGGTATCAAAATTCAAGTATTCAAACTACCAATCATTTTACAAGTTACATTAGATGTAAGCAGAACATCTACCACACGGTACTTCGCGAAGATGGAAACCGAATGGCTTGTGGTAGGGTTTGGAAATCCAGATTTGATTTCAATTCCTGAAAATTGAAATCCTAAACATTTAATTCCAATCATAATCTTTGTGAAAGAGTAGGATTTTGAGTACCAGAGATTCAGATACAATCACCATGTTTGGGAAATGAGTGAAATGTAACATACAATCATACGGAGTATATAGAATTATAATATTAATAAATTTATAATCAAACAATGAAACCTGAGGGAGTTGATTGTACTTGCAACAATGACTGAGACCTATACAAATTGATTCTGGGTCAAGTAGGAAGTGTTTGTCGTTGAAGATGACCAGAATGATTAATCTGTAGATAATGTTGCTGCAATGTTGGAGACAGAGAAGTAGGAAAGGTTTAACAATGACTGTTAATGGTGGATATATATATGAGAGGAGATAGAGCAAGCTGGAGGTGACTGGTGAATAACAATATACTGGAAAGGATGATAGAAGATATGAAAGACGAGAAAATACAAGTAACTATCAGAATTATTGGATTTCAAATTCTCTTTTTTGGCCTTGTATGAATTTCTAGGGAACTGGCTCAAATCCCAATACCAAATTCTTTGGATTTACAAACAAATGACATAGGCTAAATCCAGCAATTCAAATGAAATGCTCATTTCGAAACAGACAATAAGTTCAACACGCAATATCAAATGGCATGATTGTGTTTATGCATCCTTTGGCTGTGGATGCAGCACTTTCTCACTGTAAGAAATTGATTTGTAACTTGTAAGCCTCTAAGAAGTAAGTTTAGTGCTAGTAGCCTAGTATACAGACGCTGACTCCTATTAAAAGATGCACATACTGCATTGCTTTATTTAGGAATTACAGTTTCACACAGGCTTTTTATAGACCTCCCAAAAATACCAAAATTTGAATAGCAACAATCTAATATGTAAACTGTTATCTATAAAAAGATAATTTTTAAAAAAACAAAACAAATAAAAAAAAGTAACTAGGAAATAGTTTACTCTGAATAAAGACTTCAACCTGCTGAGTGATTATGCCTTGGCCTTCCCAGCTTGAAGAGCTTGAATTTTTTGCTGAACCTTCATTATCTACAAGTAATAGAATAACCAGATAGAACGTCAGAGATGCTAGTAAGTAATGATTTACCCCAGGAGAGGGTTAATAGCTTCCTAAATGTAACCTTGGTACAATATCTGATATTAGGTTGATGAGCTACAAGTGCCAAGAGAATCACCAAACTCATGTTTGAATTACATCAGTGCATAAATTAGTAGCAAAATGGACTGACTGCAGAGCTAACTAACAAGCATCCTAGACGCTGCATGAAAAAAAAAATGACAGAAAAAACAAGCACACCTAATCATTGATCCCAATCTTAATAACATAATCTTTACTTTTTCCTCTCTTTCCAGTCTCAAATGCAGATTTAGCCCGTCATTAAGTCCAATATTAGCTGCAAACCCTCGGATAGGATAAGTAGCAAAATATATTAGTAGCAGGAGATCTGGCGCAAGCAGCTTATGGCAAGCAAAAGCACTTTTTCATACTTTCCGGCAGAAAGGTCAAAATCTGAGGATCTGTGCGAGCAGCCATTAACAGCTCAAAGCAAGAAAGACTGACCCTGATCTAATCACCTTCAGCCAAGATGATTAACTTAAGGGCTTCTTACCTAGCAGAACTGTTTTTTAGATCATTACAAAGTAAAACTATGTTCATTTGCTGTTTGAATCAGCTTATGTGCCAATTTATACACAAAATTAAATATCTAAGGTTTTCTCCCAAACCATAAGGAGAGAGTCGCTTCAGATACCCCTAAACCAATGAGCACTACAGACTCCATACACTATTGTCATCGCATTCAGTGGGAAGCCGGGAACAAAATCAAATATATGATTTCTTGTCCCTATATACATGTTAAAGGTAACAACATTAAAGCATTTGGATAATAGAGCCTACGGAATTAGACATTCATTTCGGAATAAATAGATTGATAGCTTCTTCAATTGAAAGGAATTGGTGATATTAATTTATGGATGATGATAATTTATGCACATGGGATATATTTTCAGGTTAATGCAAATGTATGCACATGGGAAGTGGGCCAAAATATTGCTAGGAAAGTTCCTGTCTTTAATTCATACATAACAAGCAAAACAAACAACCTATTCCTCTCATTTTCTAATAACTCAACCAAAGGGCAAAAATGCCAATCCTATTCCCTTCCAATCTCTTCCCTTCTCTTCCATTCCCTTCCTTTACATGCAAATTATTACACATAACCAATCAAACTGAGGGACCCAAGCCTTCTTTAAGAAGCAGACTTCTAGCTTTCTAGCACATTATTACCTACAATGTATGCAACAGAACGAAGAAAGTTCCAACTTAAGCAAACAAAGAAGACTGTAATTTGACGTCAACAACACAAAAGCAAAACTAAAGCCTTGAATAGGTGATAAAACGAGCAAAAAAAAAAAAGGTGGAATGAATTGTGAAGTACTTCAAGAATAGCAAAGATACCAGCTGGAAAACAAAGCCCAACTTCCCTGAGTTAGAATAAAAAAATGACTGACTGAGTGAGACACAAAGGAGAGAGAGATAGAGATCCTAGACAAGCATCTTTTGAGGGTCTAGTGCCTACATCTAACAATCTGTATCGAAGAGAGAAGAGAAAGAAAATTCCAAAGTAGTTGAGAATAATAACAAAACAAGAATTACGATTCTTTTTCTACCCAGAATCATAATAAGATTAACAAAATCCACCTTTGACAAACAATTAAATAGGTGATGACTCATTGTTTGAGCTATCTTCCCATAAAGAAAGACCCCAAAGTTCTTTGATTACTGCTATATTATTATGGAGGACGATTAATCTAAAAGGTTTGCAGAAGATTCCCACCAACTATGTGATTGAAACAATGCTAATGGATTTCATTTATAAACATTATATGGTCATGCTTCACAGGGTCAAGCCCTTTAGCTTTCAGCACTGATGTCCACTAGGTTAAGCCTCCTGGTGCACACACACACCTATGAAAGTGTCTCACTGCCTGACTGCCACCAGTCATCCTAATATCCCCCCTCCTGGCCTCCCCCATATTCCCTCTTTTATCCGTTCTTCATTGATGCTGGAATCTTTCCCAAAATATTAGTCCTTGATTACTGCTATTGTAATATGAAAGGCAAAGACTCAAAACTGACTGCAGAAGGTCCCCACCAATTTGTGGAAGGAGACCACATATTGATGAAACCTTTACAGATATTGAATATGCGGGCATGCTTCAGAGTTTAAATCATCTATCCTGCAGCATCATTGCAGCCACTGATTAAAAAACCTAACCTATGGAAAAGGCACAGAGAGGGCCTAGACTCATCACATCCAGCAATTCTGTATTTTTGGTCACTGAAGTAGTCCAGGATTCAAGGGCATTGAAAAACATGTGGCCAGGGTCATGGAGTAAAGGATAATGTCCAGGATAGATGATAACCAGCAATTGTGGTAAAGGGCCAAAAAAAATAACCACCCAATAGCAAGAAAGCATTCTATTAAGGTCCTATCTGGCGGTAGCATTTCAGTTAGCGTTTTGACTAGGTCAAAACACTACTTATTAGAAACAATAAGAATAAGGTAGCAGTTTAAGTAGTGGTTAATGGTAAAGGTAGCGTTTCTCAAACGTTAAATATATTAGCATTTCAAAGGTAGCAATTAGCATTTGAAAATTTATAGTTACTTTATAACAGCTATAGTATATGGCTTTTATTGTATTTTAATATTCAAACTACTACTTTTACCAAACACTGCTACTCTAACAGCTAACCTTTACCCGCTACTAGTTGACACATGCTACTCTGCTGCTCACCAGCTACAAGCTACCGCTAATTTTGTCAAAAGCCTATATCTTTTAAAGGCATCTTAAAAGAGATGAATAAAAAGAATAGATATGCATACAAATACTATTAGCCCAGTGTTGCCTAAAGTTTCCAATTCAACAATATCATTGTTTATGATGTAGCTGTATTACGGAATATACGGTCCATAACATAGAGAATGTCAGTGTTAAATCGATAATCCCTTCTTAAAATATATAAAGTAGTAAGCTACTTGGAACCTGATTTAATAATAGTAATTAAGGACTACTGATATTCTAAATTTCCTAGATTAAGAAACTGTTGCCACTGATCTTGAACGTCCAATAACTTTCAGTTCTTGCGCTATGCATCAGATATGCATGATAGAACAATGATAACGAGGAAACTTAAGGAGGCAACTCTGACTTATCTCTTGCAGAACTTTCATGAAGAGTCAGTCAGAAAGTCTTACCACTCCATGTGCCATTTGCATATAAAATATGTGGAGAAAAAAAAAAAAAAAAAAAAAAAAAAAAAAAAAAGCTATCAATGAATTATAAGCTAGATTTATGGTGGAAGACTTGAGAGGATTTAAAATTGGAAAATAAATCAAAAGTGGCATAAGAAAATCAAGTTTAGTGACATCACTAGCCAAATACAACAAAGCTCCAAATTGAACAAGTCACCCAAACAAATGATAGTTTAAAATATTTACAACCCGCAGTCAGATAGACAAAAAAAAAACACTGAAGTGGATATAAAACACAAACTAGTGCTGTAATATTATTGGAATTTCTCTGTTCTCTCTCTTCTCCATGGTTCTTCGATTTTGATCGGTTTTTCTTCATCAAAATCGATCTCCAATGGCTAAAACTAAAAAACAGAACACTCCTACACCTCAACAAGCACAACAAATAACTCGGGTACTTCCTTCAACCCTAGTCCAATTAGGGAAGCTGATGAACTAGTAACTCCGGCGCCGGGACTTGTTCATCCCCCTTGTGGTCCTATTACCAGAAGTGATGCTAAGACTATAGCATTGTATTATAGAAACACTATTAGTCCAGAAGCTTCAGATCTCAATCGAACAGTACCTAGGGTTCCTGAGGATACTGTTCCATTGGATGCTGGAGTTGATGCATGTTGGCCTGCAGCTGCGGTTCTTGATCCTCAGCCTATTCCTGCAACTAAGCAAGCTCCAACAAGCAAAAATGGTGAGGATTGGACTGGATTATTCAAGGGTAAATTGAATGCAAAAGGAGCTCCTCTGTCCTATGTAGCCCCGAAGGTGCAAGATGGGAAGCAGATTGCTCAATTGCATGACTCTGAGCTTAATGCAGGTAATCAGAAATGGCTTAATGCTCTAGTTTTCTATGTTGTTGGGTTTTACCCTACAATTACTGCTATCCATCGCTTTATATCTCAACAATGGAGCAATGTGCAAAAACCTGATATATTTTGGCATGATTATGGGTATTTTATTATTAATCTACATTCGATTGATGATAAAAATGCAATACTTTGTTCTGGACCCCATATGTTCTATGGTAAACCTGCAATTGTTAAACCCTGGAGTTCTAAGTTTGATTTTCATGCTGAAATCTTAAGAATTGTTCCACTCTGGGTCAAATTCCCTAACTTACCTTTAAACTGTTGGGGGCCTTAGATTTTAAGTAGAATAGGGAGCTTGCTTGGGGTTCCTATTTGTGCAGACGAGTGTACTTCAAGACAACTTAGGGTCTCATTTACCCGGGTTCTCATTGAGCTAGATGTCACTAAGGCTCTTCCTAAGTCATTTTTTGTTGAAAAGTGAACTATTGGAGCTTAAGGTGGTGTGGACCCCACCTTTTGTGCTAAATGCAATAAGGTTGGGCATGATTGTAGTGCTGTCAAACCTAATACTGCTAGTTCTAAGCAGAATCAGGCTAAGCAACCACTGTTCCTGCAGTCCCTGCAAAACAGCATCAGGTTTGGGTTCCTAAGCCCAACCAGGCTCCTGTCTCTATTCCTGACAAAACTGTCCATGGGCAAGCAATTGTTACACCTGCTATTACTACTGTTCAAAACAACTCAGATGATGGATGGAGAATAGTAGGAAGAAAGACTAAGAGTCAGAGCACAAGAGATACCCAGCCAGCCACTACATCCAATGCTTATATGGCTCTTATTGCTGATGAGGCTGATAGTGCTGGTGGTTTTATTATCAATCCTATTGGGGGTGAGGGTATCCCCCTCTGGTGCC